TAATCTAAACAAAACTACATTTTAGGATTATAAATTTACTTTTTCAATAACTATACTTCAGCAATTAAAAGTAGGTTTAATTTAAGGAGTCCTTATTTTGTTACATATCACTCAGAGGCATCTAAAGTGAATTGTTAGGACTTTATTTAATGAAAAATATTATATTTGCAGAATTGTTCATTTTAAGAGCTATTTATCTCATTGCTGTAGTTAAATAATTGACAAAAGGAGAGAGGGTGGTTTTATCCTACAGTTTGAGGATACAGTCTGTGCTGGTAGGAAAAGCATGGAGAAGGAGATCGGGGCTGCTAATCACATTGTGTCTATAGTCAGGAAGAAGAGGATGCTTGCTGATCAGCGAATTTTCTTCTTCTGATTCAGTCTAGAGACCTAGCCCATAGAATGGTTGTACTTGCTTGGAGATGTAACAATTTGGGTCTTCCTGTTTCAGTTAACCTAATCTAGAAATTCACAAGCATGTCTAGACATTTATTTGCACATAATTTTAAATAGCATCGATTTAATAGTATTAGCCATTATTCCCCTTAATGCTAAAGATACAGAAATTACTCCTCATGGTTAAAACATTTTCTTTCATGTTTATTTTTGGGCTAAGTTCCTAGGAAAGAAAATAAGCACAGAGAATTATATTAATTATAAGTCAACTTTTTAAGTCCAATGAGCCAAGTTTTTACTCCCATAAAGATTAAAAGACAAGTAATTCTCAACAATCAAAGCTTAATGAAATCTACTCTTTACCCCTCCCTCAACAATGTTAACCTTGTCTAGCACTTCCTCTAGACTTCCTGAACAGAGGATGTCATTACTCATTTTGTTCCTTTATGTAAACAGAATCCTTATTAATGTACTCCTTGTTTTAAAAGATCCTTCCTTCAGTAGCTGTTTATAAAATTGATTCACTTTGACTTGTACAGCTAGAATTCCTTTAGTTATTCACAGATCCCACACAACTTGCAGAACAGACTTTACTAGGATGGTGAAGAAGTTACAAAAGATAGACAGATGGACACACAGACAGAAGAGCTGGTGTTGCTGGGCAGTGGTGGTGGCCGGGCAGTGGTGGTGCATGTCTTTATTCCCAGCACTTGGGAGGCAGACCCAGGCAGATCTCTATGAGTTCGAAGCCAGCCTGGTCTACAGAGTGAGATCCAGGACAGGCACCAAAACTACACAGTGAAAACCTATCTCAAAAAAAAAAAAAGAAAAGAAAAGAAAAGAAAAAGAAAATGAAAATGAAACAAATTCTGTCATTGGGAAGACTGAGTTCTCCAATGGAGAAACATCAGCATCACAGAAGCTTAGTATATTTAATATAGAGAGTTAACAAAGAACCAGAGAACCTTGTTGTAAATAAACAAGGAGGTGGGGTTAATATTATACAGTGGGAATGGGAGTCAGGTTTATCTAATCTTGTTAGAAGTGGTCTTTGTAGAGTATCAGTATTCATGCAGAAAATTATGGCAGACATTTAATACCTATACTGTCAGTATCTACATAGAGACCAGAGGAAGGCATTGTCATTTTCCTCTGAGCTCCACCCTAGGGGGAAGGATTTGCCATTCCTTCATGTGTCTGAGGCTCTGAGGTCTTTGACATACCCATACCCATGCCAATAGTACAAATTCACTCAGGACTTCATTCACTCAAGACCCTCTGCTCCCTTTAAGTCTTCTTATTGTATTTCATACTAGTGTGTACATAGTCCATATTTCATTTTTATGTATTATTGCTGATAGATATTTAGGTTATTATTAGCTATTACTACCAAAATTGTGTTCCTGTGAACATTTTGAAATGTATTTTTATTTAGTAATTTTGATGAATTTTTTTATAGGTACTTTTCAGTGTGCAATGAATCCTTCAGGAAAAGAGTATAAGGCATTCTACATTAGAACATATCACAAATCGGTTTTAAAAGTCATGTTTCCATATTATATTCCTGCATAAGACTATTAGTTACAATGTCTTTTATTATGGACTACTCCCTTTCCATATTTTCTTCCTTCCCTCCCTTCTCATGGTGGTTTGAATGAGATGTTCCCCATTGTCTCTTGAATTTCAGCACTTAGTCCCCAGTTGGTAGTGCTGTTTGGTTCCAATAAGAGGTGTGGCCTCATTGGAGGAAGTATGTCACTGGGGGTGGGATTTGAGGTTTTAAAAGTTCATGCAATTCCAAGTTCACTCTCTGCTTCCTGTATGTGGTTCAATATTTGACCCCTCAACCTCCTGCTTTTACTTCTCTGTCATGGACTCCTGTCCCTCTGGAACCATAAGGCCAAATATACCACTTCTTTTATAAACTGGCTTGTCATGGTGTTTAATGGCAGCAATCAAAAAGCAACTAGCATACCCCCCTTTACTACTCCACTATGCTCCTCTCTCTTTATTTTGGTCCATCTCTTTCCCCTTCCTTCCTTCTGTATCTCCTATTGCTTTAGGTATTCCATAGTATTACATTATCTTTTATTATTTCTGTATCATTGATTATTAATGAATTTAAGAAACTATACCCTTTGCTCATTTATACATACTCTTTATGTTCTTACTAATTTTAAAGAAATACTTATATGTTGTCAGTAAGAGTCCCTCATTTTATACATATATGTATATATATATATATATATATATATATATACATATACCTTTACAAATATATATCTCTATCTATATAAAGGAAAATATTAAACAGATTACCCTTTCTATGCTTTCTCCAATATTAGTGGGGTAGTAGAAATGTTAATTTCTCCCTTTCCTCTTGTAAACAAATATAGAGAGAATTTTTCATGAGTGAGAACCATTTTATAACTCTACTCATTTGTTTCTTTATGTGGTTAAAGTTTTAATGTCCTATTTAAGTAAACCTTAGTTTTCCCAGAAGCCTAAGATATGCTTTTGTTTTTTAACTTCACTCCATCTCTTAAGGTTGGATCACATCCAGCAATACCATTTTTTACATATGCATCTCTGGGGAGCACTTTTGAGGCAAGATATAATGTTAGGTTTGCCTATATCTAGACCATAGGCCTATTTATTAATCACCACAGGGTTGAATATTATGTCATTCTAATCTTTCTATTATGTGTATGATGGTCATCTTTAATTGTCAAGCTGACACAGCTAGGCTCAACTAGGAAGTGAATCTTAATGAAAAACTATCTACATTGGGCTCATGCATAGGTAGGCTTGGGAGGGAATTGTTTAGATAAAGGTTATTTATATGGGAAGACTGAGACAAATGTGGGCAGTGCTGTTTCCTAAGCAGGGGTTCCTGAACTGCATAAAAGTAGAGAAATGAAACAGGACACAAGCAATCAAGTGAGCATGTATGTGTCCATTTATCTTTGTTCCTGGCTGTGGAAATGATGGGACTTGCTACTTCAAATTCTTGTCTCTGAACTTCATCTGGGATAATTTAGTTCTGTTTTTGCTTATACTTGCTGTAGTTTAATACGCTTATGTCATATTTGCAATTTACATATTTACAAGGATTCCACATGGACAATAATAATACCACTAAGCTGACAAACATCACCCACAGATCAGCTTTGGACTACAAACTGCTCAGAACAATTTCGAGATAGCTAGCTGGGATGATCCAGTTTCACAGACTACTTGAACAAGGACTTGAGATAAGCCCTAACCTTTGATATTATGCAGAGACTGGACAACAAATCAAATAGCTACCTTTCCTAGAACTTGACAATTTACCCAAGATTTTTCTTTTTAGAATCCCCTAAAGATGCCTTCACCTAGAACCAGCAGAAAACAATTTTAAGAACATGATGCCCACATTCCCAAAGAGGTGGTGTGGAGCAGCAGGTGGTTTTTGGTCTTTCAATGGGTTTGGGGTTTGGGATAATTTTTATTGTTTAGGAGGGTTAGTTACAAGTTGTTGTTATTGTTAGTGGTTAGGAAAGGGGCTATACAAAGGAGATCAGATTTAAGGTTCTTGTTTGAAAAAAATAAAATAGAAATGGTAGAATAGAAGGTGTATTATTGAATCTACTCTGAAAAGTAAAGATACAGATACAAAATAGATAAAAAGAAATAGATTATTGAATCTACCTCCAAAAGACAATGACTAGTTTTAAATACTTTACATTGGGTTGGATTTTTATATATTGTATACAAATATATATATATATATATATATATACACACAAATATATAATACAAATATACATATATATAAAACAAATATATAATACAAATATACATATTTATATATATATACAGAGAGAGAGAGAGATTGATATTGTTAGCAAATGCTGTACCTGTATTTCTAATCTTGTTCAGGATATTGTACTGACACAGTTCATTTAACAATGTAATGTAATTTGCTAATCCTTAAATGTTATTATTACCAACTATTAGGATATAAAGAAATGAATGTTAGTAGTTAGACATTACAATGGAACTTGTTATATTAGGTAAGTTTTCAAGGCTGAGCAGAGATATTTTAGATAGACAGGTCATCTTCAACCCTTCAGAAATCTACAGAATATTGCATTTAAAATGTTTTAATAAATTAGATTTTTTTATAACTATGAGACATGCCATCTCCTGTTAGTAAAAATCTACTTAAGAGAAGATATGGGCATTGAAGAAACTACATATGGAGTTAACTTTCATTGTGGCAAATTTAGCCACTGGGCAACAATGTGCCCTCGAATAGACTGCTGACAGTATGCTATCCTAAATGGACAGACAGGACACAAAGGCCTACTGATCATTTCCAAGACAAGTGTGATGTGGCTTTAGCTACAGGCGTCCTCTGAGGCCAGGACAATATGGCACCATCGCTGATGAGGCTTTGCAATCCAGAAAAGGTACAGTGCCCTTTTTTTTGAAGGCAAGTGAACAGGCAATGGACTGATGGCTTCTGCTATGCAGTGGAACATTAGTTGAAACAGTTATTCTTGAAAGAGTAACTAGATTGATGGAGTCTATCCTCTCAATGATAGACTGCCATTTAAAACAAGAGATGAAGCCCCCCACAAGCCAAGAAAAATGGACAGCCCAATTCTGAAAACATCAGCAATTTCCAGAATTTAAAATCCTGAATCCTAGCAGGACACTGGTGGAAGTCAGGTTTATCTGGTGCATGGACTATTCTCTCCAAATGTGAGGTTGAACTGTAGGCTGTGTGTACATCCTACTTCACAAATGAGTCTGTCAGACACACTAAGCCTATAGGCTGAAGATGATGCCCCAACATTTCAGAGAAACCTTTCTGTCAACTCACTAAAGAGTTGTAAAGTGTATAAATGTGAAAGAACTTATAAGATAGTTTTCTGTTAGTAATGTAAGTTAGGATAGAAAGTGATTCAGGTACATTTTGGACTTACCAAAACAGGATAATAATAGAATATTTTCTCTGAGTTTGTCAAATGCAAATGGACTAGACATTGTTGAGGCATTTATTGCTTATATATATTGTATATAGTTATTGTACTTATTATATATAGTTTTTCTTATATTAGTTATAACCTTTTTTCTTTTTTATTAGAATAGAAAGGGGAAATGCAGTGATATTTTATTTGTGCTGAAATGTGACATTTTATTTGTATGTTAATAAATAAAGTTTGCCTGGAGATCAGAGGTCATAGTGAGTCATAAACAGAAGTCAGGCGATGGTGGCACATGTCCTTAATCCAATCACATGGCAGGCAGAGTTTCTATGTGGTCAAGAACACAGCCAAGTGTGGTGACACACACCTTTAATCCCAGTCCCAACCACAGAGACCTGGAGGTCTGTATAGACAGGCGGTGGTGAGGAAGTGAAGTGGCTGGGTTTAGAGGCAATGAAAAGGCAGAACAGGAAGGCAATAAAAGCTCAGGTCAGACAGGAAGATGCTCTCTCTTGGAAAGCTCCAGTGTGGTGGTAAGCTAAAGTTAGTAAGTGGCTATTCGCTATTTCTCTGATCTCTTTGGCTATTACTCCTGTATTTGGCTCTGTGTTTCTTATTTAATAAGACTGTTTAGAGATTCATCTATAAATGGTGCAAACTCTAAGATGGCAGTTTGAGTTTGAGGAATAGGCAATGTTTTTAAAGTTTCAAGCCTTAGCAAAAGAATTGTTTCACCCATAACCCAGCTCAATTTACTAAGCTTATGAGTGATAGACATTTGCAAAGTTACACTTAGTCTGTCTTTGTCTTCTTTTTTGTCTATGCATACTTATCCCTTACTTATAATTAATGGGGGCTAATTATAGTCATAGTGCTGGTGTAGTTAGGATTTCTTTCATGATACCAAACTAGTGCTCTTTATTAGCCTCCATAATTCAAGTTAAAAAGATTATTTTAATGTTCCAGTGACTTTTCTGGTGAACCAAAAAAAAAGTAAGAAAAATACAAATAATTTTAGCTGGATTGAATAAAAATGTACTTAATGTTGAAAAAAGAAAGAATTGAATGAAGGGAAAGGAAAGGAATAGTATCCATTGGGAATAATTGTAAACCAGCAAGTCCATGGGAATTAAAAGAGCTAAACTCAACAGCCATCTCTTTCTAACACAGTTATGAAGAACTGCTTTATCTTTCACTCGGACAAAGACTTCCTGAAGGAAGCCTAAATATTTACTTTCCCATTTTGAGCATTTGAACTCATCTGACATTTTCTAGAAGCCTCAGAGCATCCATTTAAACCCAACTGCTCACTTCTGCCTTTTAATTTCTATACACTGTAATTTAACACTAGAGTTACTTTTCTGATGTGTTTGGTATGAATAAATTACGTTCTACAAATGTTTTAAGCGTTCAATAGGCTCTAACCAGTCATCATTTATCCATGAGTACCCTTTAGAAAAGAACAAAATGATCTTCATTTTTCTGATTTGCACAATTTAAGTCTCAAAAATGTGCAGTTATGTAAGTGCAAGATTAAGGACTTCTCTCCTCGAGTTTCCAATCCTGCTGTGGGATTATAAACTCCCATACTCTTCTGAAGTTTCTCTCTACACCAGGGCCTTATAACTGACTGCAAGATTGAATGCTATATTCCTTTTTCTTTTTATATACGTTTGAATCATGGGAGTCCATTAGAAAAATGCAGTTTCGCTGAAATTAGGGGAACATACGCCCTTTGTTCAACATCCAATATTACATTTCCAATTCACATATAATTGCTTATACAATTTTCCATCTCCCACAACCCAAATAAAAAAGGTTTTATATTCTATAGCCATAAATTTCTAAAGACAACGTCAAAACATTCAGCAGAACAGAACTTTCTTATCGCTCCTGGCAGACTCTCTGCTCCAACATGGCAGTGGGAGAGAGAGGCTTAATTATAACAGCTCCCCATAACAAAGCCTATGTCATTACCACATGTTGCAAAGTTAGTAGAAAGGGAAAACATGGATCTTGTTTCTTTCTGCTTATATTTTCAAGATGTTTAGGAAGGGAGTTGTTCTAGTGGGCAGCATTTTGGCCTTTGGGGCAATCCTTGGCCATCACCAAATTTACATTTGAATAAACAAAACCCATCCTGGGTGTGCCTCTATTAGGCTGTTCTGTAGACCTCAGGTCTTACTTTAAGTCAAGACATATGTGTGAATAGAAAAGAGAGTAGGGTTTTCCTGTTATTTTCAATGTAATAGTGAAAGCATGAGAAGAGGAGAAAGAAAATTATTATCCTTTTTTTTTCATCAGTTTCTTGGGAGAAATATGGTGTTAGTGATCATAAAAAAAGTGCTGATGCCCAGGCTTGTCAAAATATGTAAAATACACAAGAGGAAAGAAAGCCAGTATATCCACAGACCTGTGAGTCTAGCTATGAGAAAGGATGAAATGGCAGGAAGATTACGTATTCACAGGCATCATGAGCTACAGAGTAGGTTGAAATCCACCCAAGCCAATTAAAGAGACTCACTCAAAAATAAAACTAAAGGAGGTAATTTTCTTGGATTGGCTATAACTCAATGGCAGGGTATTTATTTAGAGTAGTCAAGGTTCTAGGTTCAATCCCAGGCATAAGATGGGGGAGAAGGGAAGTAGACAGGGAGGGAAGGAACACTGGGGACAGCCAGTGAGAGGGCAGAGGACTGGGATGAAAGGGGGAAGGGGGCAAGGGAAAGATAAAGAGTGATTGATTGATAACAACTCACAATGGAATTTAAGACTCAAGCTGGTGTTATATGGATCGAGATTTAGCCCTACCATAGTGTGACATAATAGCAATTCCTCTAGCTACACCATAGTTATTATATAAAATGGGTCGAAGGGCACCAAGAACGTTATTCAGTTGGTAAAGTGTTTATCACATAAGCATCAGGGTCTCAGTGTGAATTCTGAACCATTCTGAAAAATTCAGGCATAGTTCTCCATCTCTGCAACCGCAGCACTTGTTGAGAGTCAGATCCCTGAAACTCACTGGCCAGCCAGACTATCTGAGTTGATGAGCTCCTGCTTCAGTATGGTTCTTAATATTGCCACTTGACCAAAGTTCAGGGAAACTAGCTCTGAGCATGTTGTGAGGGATAACCTTGGTGAGGTTGATCTCTGGCCATTGCTGTAAGGAATTATCTCCATTAGGTTAACAGAGGTGGAAAGATCCACCTAATGTTGTTGGCACCATTCCCAGGGTATGGATCCTGGGCTGCATAAAAATGAAGTGAGCTGGGCTGAGACATTCATCACACTCTACTTCCTGACTGCAGATTCAATGTGATCAGATGGTTCCTCAAAATCCTGCCACCATTCCTTTACCACTGTACCTTTCAACTGTGACTCAGAAACAACCTTTTCTAACTGACGTTGTTTTGTCAGAGTATTTTATCACAGCAATTAGAAAAGTAACTGAGACACCTGTCTCAAAAAATAAGGAAGAAACTATCAAGGAAGACAGATATGGACCTCTGACTCCCACATGCACACCTACATACGTACATGTGTTCAATAATATTTCCCGCAAAGACTGAAACATTCCATACTACAGGAAGCCTCTTAAGCAGGAAGGTAAACAGGGACATGACAAAAAGATGAGAAGGCATGATTGCATGGCCCTAGTTATAGCTAGCAAGGCATGCAACAGAGGTTGAGCAGCCTGAGGGGGAAACATCCACGGAGGAAATTCTGATATATTTGCCCTTTTCTTTCTGGTATGTGTTAATGTGCCTTTGTGTTATGATGATGAGTTCATGATTCTTGCTGTGAGTAGCAAGACAAGCAACAAAGCCTGAGTCATTAATATGTGCTGGGGTAGAGATGGTTTGCCCATCCGTGGCACTGTGAATGGATAGGCAATAGCTGTGATTACAGCCACAGTGCCAACCCAGAGACACTATGACCCAGGGAGCCACCAGGTTCAGTGGGAGAGACCAGGGTCATAATTGTTCATCTTTGGCCCTCAGTAGGTCTGAGAAGATTAATTCTGGGTCACTATATTCATCAAGAGTAGAGGAATAAAGGAAGACTCCTAGAAGAGTTCTAAGATGGGTGTAAATGTAGTGACTCAGAGAGAAGACACTGTCACATTACAGGGAGCTAATTAAGTTAGCACCTCCTAGGCGTGCTTTGTACCCAACCTTGATATGTGGAGGAAGCACTTGCTACAAATATGGAACCTTTCCATGCTGTTTTAGACCTTGTTAATGTTCAACTTTAGTATCTTAGGTATAAACCTCTGGGATCAACTGAGACTACTAAGAACAGATGACAATAGACTTTCAGAGTACTTCGCCAAGATTTTCTTTGTTATGGGTTTCTGTTTCAGGATGTTACCTTGTCTGCTCATCCTCTGGAAAAGGTTTTCTTCTACTACCAAATGCTAATCCCTGAGTGGTTTGCAGGTTTGGAAAACCAGGAGAGAGACAACTAGGTACAATGCTACTTCCACCAACCTTTCAGTCTAAATGGGGTTGACTTAGTTAAAAGAAAAAAATGGGTTATCAGAACCATAGATACAGAGTGTAAATCCAAAAGGTACCCTACATAGGTGTACATTATTGAATGAAAATCCCAGTGCCAGGAGAGGGCTGCCTTCTGGTGAGTTGTTGACCAGGGAAGTCCCTAAGGCCCCACAAATCATTAAAGCTATTTCTACTGCTGTTGCTGTTGGTTGTATGTCAGGACTAGATGGCAAGACCCTACTGCTGCAGACACTACATGTACATGCTTTGGCAAAAGGATTTAGAGAAATTAAGCTGGGACAGTAGTAGAAAATAACACACTGGTGTCTGGCTTTTGTATTGCCAGAGAGGCCATGCAGGATGCTAATGGAAAATTACCATAGCATTCCTGGTTGGCTATAGACCCTGTGTGCTGGAATATGGCACACAAAGGATGTGCCTGCCTGCGCAATAGTGACTTGGCTATCAAGGGTGAGACCAACAGCCTTCTGATTGTACTTGGTCCACTACACAAGGAGAGTTTACATCTGGCACTGTAAGTCAAGACAAATCTTTGTGGCTTGGAAGGTCATAGGTCTCAATGGGAAAACAGCTTCTATTGTTTCACTAGATGTGTCTGCCAAATGGCCTTCTAAATATGTGTGTTTATGCCCATAGATCACTGTTGTTATCACCACAAGTGAAGTTCCTGAGAACAAGTGATGGTTACAGTAACATGGAGGCCTATTTCTTAGCTATAGGATGGACATTCACAATAACCCCCTTCAAGGCTCAGGAGTTGTTGTATAAGAGGAGGCAGAAAGAATGTAAGAGCCAGAGGAAAATGTAGAATGTTGTGTAACAGATTCCTTTGAGATTAAATTATTCCATCTTGCAGGAAGCTGCTTAAGCAGGAACACAAAATACTCAGAATAGCTTCCGAAGTCCTTGAAACTGACCAGATTCACTAGCCACATCCTCTGCCCCATCTTCTGCCAGACTAAGCTTCAAAAGCTGACAGTCACCCTTGGTGACTTGCAGGCTAAGCTGCAAAGAAAACTTTCAGACCAGCTAAGCAGCCAAGAGGACCCAGAATATCAACTTGTAAAGAAGACTCTTAGACAAACAAAGCTGCATTGAAGACTCAGATATGACTGCCTGGAAAAAATCAGAAAGCAGCTGAGCTGCCTGGAAGAGGTTTAGACTCACTGAGGCACATGGAAACGACACTCCCCGACCTGCTGAGCTGCTTGCAGGCTGTGCAGTGTGCTCCAGATTCCCACTTTGTGAGCTGTCACCCATGCTGGAGTGGGCTTTGGTGATGCAGCTGTTTTTGAGTCATTGCAGCTCCTGTAAGTGACCTTTCACCCATAAAAGCAATAAAAGTCATTGGTTCACCAAGTTGGACTTTGATGGTATCTCTGCTTTAGTCCGTTGTGGGTCTCTGTCTGGGGTGAGCAGACATGTATGTCTTGTGTCTCCCAGGATAAGTTTTATCACACAAAATGCACAAGTAAAACACACACACACACACACACACACACACACACACACACACACACACACACTGAATGACTGAATACAGTATAGGGCCTGAGTTGGTGCAATATTCCTGTAAACTCAGAACTTGAGAAGCTGGAGGATCATGAGCTGGAGTCCAGTTTTGGCTACAAAGCAATATCTTTCCTCAAAATAAAAATGAAGATTAGAAAAGGGAAAATGATAGAAATGGGAAAGCAGAATCATGATTCTGTCTCTGGGTTCCTTTTAACTATATTCTGGGTACTAATGAAATAGTCCCTAGAACAAGTTGGACTCTGCTTGGAAATCAGAAATGGAAGTTGAGCTGGACTAGCAGACAGGCTCTTGTGGACAACATCTGCAAGAGGAAAGACTGGGTGAGAAAACAAAGGAAGTTGGGAAACAGTCAATCCTAGAGAAAGTTTCACTTTCAGTTTTCTGTAAAGATGTGCTTGGTTAAAAAAAACAAACAAACAAACAAACAAACAAAAAAACAGATCAAGTCTTTAACCTAGTTGATAGCCAAGGTTAATAATGAATAAAACAGATTATAAATCTACTAGCATAAGATCTACCAAGCTTATTGCCTTCATCCCTCAACTGTACCTGATTTGGGTTTTCTAAAAGTGTGCTGACAACCACAGCACCACAGGCCACCAACATCACTGCCCATGTTTAAAAGCGTTAGTGTCATTGCACATCCAACCAAACAATAATACTTTTGGGGACCTTCTAAGAGGCAAGTTCTACATCAAACCTCTTTTTGATTAAAGTGGCTCCTTTACTGATCTTTCAGCATTTACCCTGATATCTGGCTCCCAGTTTTTATTATTAAGGCCAATTAAGATTCATGCTACACTTGACTTGTCCTGAGGACAGTGTACATAAGGACATTATTTGGGAGAGCCATGCTTGCTGGGAACACCTGCTCTCCCTACTAGGGGACTTAGGATAAATCTCTTTGCTCAGCCTCCTTAAGAGAGTGACATATATTAACTGGAGCTGTAAAATTAAAGAATTTAAGTTTCCTATACTCAATAGAAGTTGTTAAACATTGGTATTATTTGGTACCTCTATATCATGCCCACCCTAAAATATATGCTTTTTATTGTTACATCAAAGGTATCAAGAAAGTGTTGGCTACAGGAAGTGGCTGAAGACGGACACAGAATGTGGCCCAATTCTTCCTTATTCCTAAGTTCAGAAAAAGACATAGCTAAAACATCATACATTTAGCTTGGCTCTAGCTAATTTTGTGACCCTTTTGGAAATCATATTCCATTCTTGTTGCCACTTTTCCCCTTCCCTATAAAGTTCCAGGTCTCAATTGGGTAATAAGAATGTTTCTTCAGGCTCTAGAGTGTGAGGAGTGAAAAACCGAGAGTTTTTTTTTTTCCCCAAGAGCAACTGGCAGAGATTTTAGGGTTTCAAGACTCAGGTAAATTGGAGCAGTGACCTGGAGGTATAAAGGGAAGCTCCAGGTGTGTTACATCCATTGCACAGGATGGAAACTGTAGTTTCAAGGATACCAACAGCAGTGTTCTGTTTGTTATTTTAGTATCTCATGAATTTTTTTTTGGCCAGTGTATTTGCCAAGCCTCAGAAATATTTATGTCATTCTTTGTTCTATTCCAGAACCAAAGCCTTAGATTCTAAAACAACATATGCAGATTTTTTTCATACTGGGGCTTGATAAACAACAGGTTATGCTAATAATAATCATTATGGGGATTTTTTTTATGATAAAAGTATATCCATGCCAAATTCTCTAGGCACCTACGAATGCCAAACTGAATATATTGCCTAATAAAAGGGCAGCCTAGCTCCATAAATCTCAAGCATACTGAAGAAAAATTTTCTATAACCACCACCACTACATAATAAATAAAGCAACTATTCACCCATGTAAAACAGGGAAAATTCTGGGTTTAAAAAGCACCAGCATTTGTATCTGAGGACTTTAAGGCAGAAGCCAAAAGCTTAGGAAAATGTATGCACTGGAATGGTCTACTATTCCCTCAAAAGTTTAACTAAACCTTCCCTTAGGTTGAAGAGTAGAGAAGATAGCTATTGACAACTTTACAGTTGTTGATTCATATAGAACTGGGTATATCCTCCACGGTTCCACATATTCCTTCAATTTTACTGGCTGGATAAATCAGTCATAATTTTATATTTTCAGAGACTTCTGTGTATGCGCCTCTTTCTTGGTCTTATGTCTTATGTAAAGTTGAAGTTTGCTCCCTTCGTGCGATGTTAACTTGTGAATCTCAGCTTGACTTTTCTCCATTCCCTCTAGTAACTCTGATACAAGAGTCAAATTCTTTTACAATTAATTTGGTCTTAGAAGTCAACATGCCAGTTCTCCTCATAGCCCAGTTTACAGATCCAGATTTGTCCCCACCATTGCTAGATAAGAAACTAAAACAAGCAGGATTGCATAATTAATACCACCATATAGGAAATCTCTTTTGTTCATTGTGGTATGAATGCTGAGTTTGTGGTTTATAATTTTTGTTAGTATGACAAATACTTGATTAAAACAATTCAGGAGAAAGAGTCCCTTTAGCTGTTGCTTTACGAGGTTTCTGTGTATGATTAGTGGTTCTATTGTGTTTGAGTTCTGTGAGGCAGACCATTCTAGCAAGTAACATGTGTTAGGGTAGAGCGTCAAGTCAAAGGCAAGCCATGAGCAGGGAGAAAGGCCCAGATGTATCCTCAGAAGCATGGCTTACTGAGCAACTTACTCTCTCTATTCAGGATTTACTTACAAACAACAAATCCAAATATTAACTAATTCATACAATAACCCACAGATGAAGTTAGTTTAATTGATTAGATCTACTAGGCTTTTAACCACTAATTCTTTGGAGATAATACTTAATATTCAGACATTAAATAGCATGTATCTCAGCTCAAGGTACTGTAAGGAAAATGTCCTTCTATTCTTGTAGTTATGGAGGATGACTTTTAAGATCAGGGACATTCTTAGAAAGGCCCTCTTTTAGATGTCAGAATATCTATCCCTTTATTGTATTTTAGACTGGTGGATAGAAGAAAGAGAAAGCCAACACTCTTCTAGGTCCTGTATAAGCAGGAATACCATTCACCAGCTTCACTCACAATGAGACCAAGAGTAGACTAATGTGAAGGCCTTTAATGATCCAAGTTTACATCATCATATCATATTTATGTCCTCAACTGAGAAGACAGAGGATTCCAACTGTTTAAACTGTCATATTCATACAAAAGAAACATTAAGAGGAGAAGAGGGAGATGACTTACTGGTTTTCTTTCTTCACCATGAAGATTCAGCCTTCTCATTAAGGAAAAAATTCTCTCAAAACTTATTTTGATATGTTTATTTCAAAACTTAGTCACTGGCAAGTTATCTGATACTGTTTGAATTACATTGGATCAAATCTGTTACATGGGATTCAGGATGTTAATAAAATAAATAGCACATTATCTTTGTTTACACTCTTGTTAAGTCTTCTTATACCATTTCTTCCTTGGAGGAAGGATTTCCTATTCTCTTGTCCTCTGTACTTTATTATTTTTACTTGTCATAAGATGATGATGTATGATATGCTTCAATTTCCTCTTGGGTTTTTTGCCTAGCATACAATAGGAACCCAACCCCTGCCATTACTGGCCACATCATACATTTTATTGTCAGTATAAAGAGGACAGAAAAAAATACTTTGTGTATTATCTGATATTCCATTTCTCCTGATCACTGAAGGTGTATTTTATTTTGTATTTTTAAACTGTTTATACATAATTCTCATTATCTATGAGAATGTATTTTAAACTAGGCATGGTAGTACACATCTATATCCCAGAACTTGGAAAGGATGTATGTATGTATGTATGTACTTGTATATATGTACTTGTATGTATGTATGTATGTGTGTATGTATATGCATCAGAGACTGGCCTTCAAATTTAGATCTTGCATAGACATACATACACACATACATACATACATACATACATACATACATATTTTTTCAGGCAGGATGATCACAATATCAAGGTCAGCTCAGCTATATGTATGCATATATGTATACTTTTTCAAGATCATTCTGTACTACAAAATACCTTGTTCACAAAAGTCATAAAAGGAAACTATCTTGACAATAAAAAACATGTTTTTCATCTTTTTAGACAAATAGTAGGATTCTAAAGTAAATAAATTAGGGAAAGATTGCATGATGTAAAGTCAACAAAACTTTAAATTTATGATATCGTTTACTTCTCTAGAGGCAGTGGGACCTGAAAGGATGAAACCATAAATAAAGCAGAATAAAGTCTCATGCAGTAGTCAACTTTATTCAGCTTTATTCAGAACATCAGACAATTTATACTCTCAGGATTAACAGAACAACTAAAAGCTCTAGAACAAAAAGAAGCAAACTCACCCGGGGGGAATAGACAGCAGGAAATAATCAAATTGAGAGCTGAAAGCAATAAAATAGAAGCAAAGAAAACAATACAAAGAATCAATGAAACAAGAGTTGTTTCTTTGAGAAAATAAACAAGATAGACAAGACCATATCCAAACTAACCAAAAGTCAGAGAGAACATCCAACTTAACAAAATCAGAAATGAAAAGGGAGACATAAGAACAGACAAGGAGGAAATTCAGAGAATCATCAGGCCATACTTCAAAAACTTGTACTCAAAAAAATTGGAAAATCTAAAAGGAATGGACAATTTTCTGGATGAGGCTATAGTTACCCTGATACACACAAAGATGCCACAAAGAAAGAGAATTACAGGTATAAATTACAAAGTCCAAACCTTGTATTCCAGTTCTACCAGCTTGGTTTTACCTCCTACAAGGTTCCACAGCATCGAAGAAGAGCACCCACATCGAAGGAATGATTATAAAAACCATAACACTTAGGGATGAACATCATGAGAAACCACAGTTGACATTTTAACTTTCTTGTTTATAATTCTGTATCAGCACAGGAGGCACTTCTAATTTTCAGGAATAATATTATATTTAACCTCCAGGTCTGTCAATTACAATTTATGAATGCTCTTGAATTTCTATCTACACTTCAATGATTGGTAAATGAGTGTCAACACTAACTTTTCTTGGGATGGGAGACATAGGTGATTAGTATGAAAGCCAAATTATTAAAAATATAAATTATCTTTAGCCACAAACTTAAGTCGTAAACTCACCAGTGATGCCTTTAAGTCAAGACAAAATTTGTGATGACATTTTTAGTGCCCTAGTGACTTTCTAAAACATCTTTTAGTGTTGAGCTATGAGAGACAAGTTTCAAGATTCAGATTATGCTGTCATAGCTAAATCTAATCTTCTGTAGATTTGTGAATACATTAATGTGCATCAATATGATGGTTTGGCTGTACAAAGTTTTTCTTTAAATTCATTTATATCTTGGCTATGTGAATTAGGTATCCAACACTCTCATACAGATATGACCAGAAAACACCCACACTCACAGACATACATACACACACAAGGAAAACACACCATTTTGATTATATTTATAAATTTCATATCTGTCATGTTGAAGAAAATTAAATATAAAGACTATATGTGTAATATATATCTTTAGATGTAGATGTAACCAACCCTCTTATTAAATAAGAAACACAGAACCAATGTAAAAGAGAAAGCCGAGAGGTCAGAGCTCAGAGCTAAAATCTTACCTCCTGCAGTGCTCCTAGCTTCCCCAATAGAGAGCTACTTCCTGTGTGTCTGTCTTTAAATAGTCTTTCTGAAGTGAGTCCCAGGAAAGGCACAAAGCTACACAGAGAAACTCTGTCTCGAAAAACCAAAATAAATAAATAAATAAATAAATAAATAAATAAATAAATAAATAAATAAATAAATAAATAGTCTTTCTGTTCTGCCTTCTCATTGGTTGTAAACCCAAACACATGACTGCCTCGTCACTGCCTGTAAGTACCACCCTCCAGGTCTTAAAGGCGTATGTCTCCAATGCTGGCTGTATCCCTGAACACACAGAGATCTACCTAGCTCTTCTACCAAGTGCTGGGATTAAAGGCGTGCACCACTACCACCACGATCTTGCTATGGCTCTAATAGCTCTGACCCCCTGCGCAACTTTATTTATTAACATACAATGAAAATCACATTTCAGTACAAATAAAATACCACCATATTTAGATGCCACAAAATAGACATAATTGAGCAATGGCCATGTGTACTGTGCAGTAACAAATTATTTTTAATATCAATCTCAAGTTTAATCATTGTGCAGATTGAAGTACGATTTGAGGATGGAGTTGGATATAATCTCTATATACTGTAATCCAACAGATCATAACAATGGCAGCAGAACACCAAAGAAGGTGTTTCATTTCTTATCATTAGAGAAGTGTTTATAGTATACAGTTAACCTTAAATAGGACACTCATTTTGTCTATCCACTTATCATCTGGTCAATTATTTTTCTAGCAAGAATAACCTGTTTCTAGAGGCACTTTTCCCTTGTGAGTATGATATAGACAACTCCAGTTTAATTGTTAGAAGTAAATTACATAGCAATGCCAACCAGGCTCCTGGGGCTTGTTTGAGGGATTTGGGACCAGCCAAGAGTCACTGAGTATTCTTGTATAGACTATTTTTGCTATAGGTTGTAGTGGTGACATTTTCTGTTCATATTACTCATCAGAGAATATTACAGAGAATATTGGTGTTCAGTTGCTGACGAGCAGAGAGTCAGTATGTAGAAATTTTTCCTTATAATGAAAAGAGCACAGAAGAAAACCAAGAAAAAGAAATCTAATAAAAGCTATTTTATCAAATATATAAATAACGATAATATACTGATTCAAATCTGAACTCATATTCATCTGGACCCTTTAATTAAAGTGTATACAAATTATTTCCAATTAATTTGCTATATTACAGCAAAAGACAGTAATTTGCATCTGTG